ATTATTTGATTATTATGATTTTGCAACCCATTCAAAAAGAAACGGATATCCCCAAGATCAAAATTTTAGCGCTCTACATCATTTTCGGATCACCATCAAATTTTCCAAAGTGCGACAATGACGCAGAGTCTCCCTAGATTACGGTCGCTTGCCCCGTCGGGTGAAGCTGTTTCGCAGCAGACACTGGGACATGTCAGGGCCTAGGTTTAGCTTGACGCCAGCCCAATCTCAAGCGATCGTTGAAGCGGGCAAGCGGCCGTGGACCAGCCAAAAACCCGTCGATTCACCACGCTTTACAAGGTGGTGAGAATCACGCTCTACGCGGCTGCGATTGTGCCAAACACGTTGACACGGAAGCGATTACACATTTCTAACTGTCCCTTTTCGATTCACTACTGTTCACAAGTAGCTCTGAGGACTGCGCAATGCCTCCCTTCCCACGTTTAAACAGCGCAGCGGAATCAGAATCTTCCTACAGCCGACTGTTATCCGAGCCAGTTACTCCTCGCTGCTTCGCCTTCCACCACGTTAGAGGGTCATTAGAGGGGAGGGTCGTACACTGCAAAAATTTTTCCGAACGGCAAGACGTGCCTTGATAGTGAAGCCTCCATCCGACGCCCTGATAACCACTATCATCTCTTTTTTTTGAGTAAATTCGGCCATTCGGATAAAATGAAAGCGTCTATGAATTACCGTAGTATCGACAGCTTTCACTTTCTTCACTGGGATGTGCTCAATTTTCTCCTTTCCTTTCGATGCCAACAGGACACCTAAACAACAAGAGGTGAATAAGCAGCCTTTTTACACCGAATACGGGGTTCAATTAAAAAAACCCAGGATGTAACCAAACGAGAGATGATTGCATGAGAGTCGAACCTTTTGCACCAAGCGTGACAATAGCGTATTCTGGTCCCATAGTAGTCATCTGCGCTGCAGCTTTTTCGGCATCCTCCATAGAATTTTGAGGGATGTTAGTGATGAATTCGGCCTGAGAAACGAGAACTACTCCCAAAAAATGTTGGATGGGCCACAATAAGCTACAAATGGTCACCTCGTTTTCGTTTGTGCAGATGATATCAGTAAGCGCCACCATCGACATGTCTGTGTCTCGTTCCCCAGGTGCCGGATTGAAGAACGTTCTCACTGAAAGGTTCGTTTAACTTCACTCTGCGTACAGTCTTGTTCGCTGTGGATGCTGGAGCGTGCCAGGGGGCTGTGTTCTGGTGATGCACCAACCCATTTCAATCTGTGTCGCGCCTGCTCGCTTTCACGACATTATTGGGGAGAAACAGGTTGGTTCGGCGTTGAGCACCAGCCTCGCCTGACACGCTTTCCAGCATACCGTACGTGCCGCGAAATGCGAGACACCGCAGCTGCATATCTCCGGCAGGCAGTTTTGAGATGTGACAAAAAATTAGCTAAAAGGATGCATCGACAAATGCTTCGCTGCAGTTTTGCGTTCTATACCTGTGAGTAAGTCTATGCTAGAATCGACGCCCCCCCCGGAAAAACCCCTCATAAAAACCCAACTGCCAAGGACCTTCCCTTTACAATCGGCCCGAGGTATGAACCTGCAGCCTACCTTCCTAATGTTGTTCTTTGCCAACTCGAATGCTCGCTTGTTTCCTTCCCGCGATACTTCTGCTTGAGTCATCACAAGAGCGGCTTCACTGATGGCTTTTTCATGCCGCTCAGCACAGACATCGTCCAACTCCATATTTGCACCCAGCGTCACTACAATCGTGTTTTCGCCTGGAAGCAAGAGTTTATTGGGATACATACTTTTCAGAAACTCCTTCGTAAAGCACTGACGAAAGCGCAAAGCGTTGTGAAGTCAGAGGCTAACAAACCGTGGGCATTGACAGTAATGGTTGCTGTAGCTGTGTGACTGCTTTCGGATTTCTCCACTTGACTTACATCTACTCCGGCTTTTCGCAAATTCTCGATGTTTGACTCACCAAACGAGTCGTTACCAACCTTGAATGTTCTAAAGTAAATTCTACGAGCCAATGGTATCAGTTGCTTATTTGGGATTCATTGAAGTAGACTCCGCGAAAAAGAAGAAACTGTTTCTGTTTGAGCATCTCAGTAGGCCATATGTATGGATTGAGTCCCTGTTTTCTACCAGGGTTAGGTAACAATGTATTTCTCACTGACAGAGAACATCAAAAAGACTCCATTTCGTTGGCAGGACAGAAAGACGAGTTTGCTATACGGCTAGATTGCAATCAGCACGTCCTGCCGTTGGGGAAAATTTTTGCCAAATACGACTCCCCTCGAAGATCTTCTGGTACGACCAACCTCCCCTCCCCCACATCCTATCTCACCTACCAT